AATGGTAGACACCGGTTTATGTGGTCGTACGTACGATATCAACAGTTGTCTTGATAGGGAACTTCGAAGTGGGTTAGTAACCGCCACATAACGAGACAGAGCAGAAACCACACAGAGCTTCGGCGCCTCTCGAAAAAAGGGGTAGAAAATGGTAGAGGAGTCGGATTTGGTACGTCTTGACACCGCAAAGTCACTCCATCCGGGGAAAAGGTGAATGCGTTAACATCAAAAGCCCGAACATCGGAGACCCGACGAAACGATACCAGGCATAACAGAAGTGTGAACTTGGCCGATAACTGTCGTAGAGAAAGGTCCTGATTCTCCGGCCACGCCTGAATGAAGTCCAAAACTCGGTGTACGTCCCAGAGTGATGTATATTTAGGAGTCGGTGGGCATGACATCCTGATTCCTCATAACAGTCTACAAACCAAAGGATCTTGACCAATGGGCGTTCCCTGAAGAGGAACGTGAGCCACTGAAATGGCCGATCTGGCAACGTTGACTGAGCGATATGATCTCCCTTGGTCGAAAAGGTAGGAAAGGAAATACAGTACACTGGATACAGGTGCTGTAAAGGGATCGGTACTCCGTTCCATGCACCAGCGACACCATATGTTCCATGCGGACAGATAACATCTCCTCGTTCCCGGGACCCATGAGTCCCAGAGGAGGTTTCTAGCCGTTCCCGATAACTCATCGACATTCCAGGTACCCCTGAAAGAGTCCAAGCCACCAAGTGAAGATGGCCCTCCAGCACGAGGGGGTGATGGTTGCCCTGAGAATCCGACAGAAGAAATTGCAGAGACGGGAGAAGGAGCGGGTGTCGGTATGGCAGCTCCAGCAGTTCTGGGAACCAAGCTTGGCCCTGCCAAAGGGGCGTCAGTAACACCAGCGATGTCCGTTGGCGTCGTACTTGAAGAAGAATTCTGGAGATCATAGTGAATGGTGGGTCGCATCTATCTCGAACCCCAAAAATTTAACCACCTGCGTTGGCCACAAACCCCAGGGATTCAAACAAGGAGACCGCGAAGTGCGTCTGAGATTTCGGTCTGGAGGAGTCCTCGCAGAAGAGAAGCAGATCGTCCAGGTAGATCAAGCACCGAATGCCCTTGGAGCGCAGGCATGCTGTTATTGGTTTCAGCAGTTTGGTGAAACACCCAGGAGCCGACTGAGGCCGAAGGGGAAGCATGTGAATTGGCATGGTCTCCCTTTCCAGATGAACCGTAAGAAACGTCGGCAACCGAGTTCCACCGGTACAGAGAGGTATGCGTCCTTCAGGTCTAGACGAGTGAACCAATCTCCTGGGTGAAGTAGGTCTCTTATAAGATGGATGCCCTCCATCTTGAAGTGTTGGTGGGAAGCAAAGGCGTTTAGGTTCCTCAGATTTATGACCGGTCGGAAGTCCCCTGTCTTTTTCCTGACTAGGAAAATCGAGCTGAAGAAGCCCCCGGCATCCGGCGCCCACTGCACTACCCCTTTGTTGAACAGAGCTAGTATTTCGGTGTCTATCAGGACTTGCAGTGCCTTTGATGATACTGGAGGCGAGGGAACCATCTCCTGAATCGGGGTTGAATGGAAGTCTATAACGTAACCTCGGACGGTTTGGAGTATCCAAGCATCCGAAGTGATGTCCCGCCACCTGTCGAGACAAAAACGTAACCTGCCGGCATGCAACAGACTGGGGGAAACATGAGATGTAACTTGTCTCACCTGCGGGCATTCTGCCTCTACCGCGTGTCCGGTTCCCTCTGCCACGGTACGACCTCTGTGAGTTGAAGAATCCAGAGTGGTAGCTGGGGAAGAAGGAAGGTGGACAGGATCCTCAGTAGCTTGATGGCCAGAAGCGGCTGGAGGCACGACCCCGCTGCCTTCCAGCCCTGCCAAAAACACGAGAGGTGTTGGTGCGGAACACCCTCCTCATTGAAGCTTGGGCTTTATTCAGGGTGGTATAGAGGTTGACGTGCTTCTGGAGCTCCTTGATGAAGGGTTCCCCAAAAAGTAGCCCTTTGGCTAACGGTCCTAATTCCTTGGAACCCAACTCCGACAATTTGGAATCCATGCGCATAAGGACTGCCCTCCTTCGTTGCGTGCACAAAGCTACGTTGGAGCTGCCCAGCAGGCAAATGGAGCGTAGCGCCCAATCTCTTACGGTCGCAGTGTCCAGGGGGGAGCCCTGGGAAACAGCCTCATCCGTGACAGCGGTCCTAAGATGTCCAGCACCTTATCCTGTGCCAGGCGGAGATTGTGCTCGACCCCTTTCTTTGGATCGCGCCCGGTACGGGTCAAATATGTGGAGACCATTGGATCAAATTCAGGCATCTAAGCGACCTTATCCGGCAATGTGGGTCTAGGGCACTCAGCCCTGAGTCTCTTCCGCACCCCTGTCCGTCCTACACCCCTGTCCGTCCTAGACGAATGGCCCAATCAAGGGGTCTGCGAACCCAATAATGTATGAACTGGGCTAGGTGGTCCGGTAGTGACCACTCAGGAGATCTGGGGTGCCGGATGGTGCGTGGATCAAATAAAGGTTCGCCTGACGAGTCCAGGAAAACGTCCTCCCCTAAGGAGGGGTGTAAATGTAATGAGGCATCTTCATCAGCGTCCTGCCAGTACGCTGAATCCTCTGGCTCTTCTACGTCCCAACCCCCTTCGTCCTCTGAGGGGGATTGATCTGCCCGCCATTCGTCTAGGGCGGACAGGGATGTAGGCAGGGGGAATTCTTCCTCCTCTTGAGGGAGGTATCGTGGGTGTGTAGAAGGCGAGGCAGTCGCCCGCTTAGGCCTTTTTGCAGGGGCCTTACCCTTCCGGGAACTCGGTTCCGGGTCTTCACCCTTCCAGTAGCATTTGGGGGGACGTGCCTGTTCTCTGTCCGGAGAGCCAGGGTCGGAATCTATCAGTGTGCGCTGAGTCTCCGGTACATCCCTGTCCTGGGATGGTCTAGGTAGTGTGCGCGAGAGCGCTTTCTCCACTGAAGCGGCAACGGCTGCGTTGATTATAGCCTGTAGGCTCTCTTGGGTAGGAGCGTCCATCTTGACCTCAGAGTGAGCCTGGGGGTAGAAAAAACACGTGTCACCCGAATATACGGGAGTAATGGAGACTGACACTAGTGTTATATGTGACCCCAGTAGAAAAACCTCTGTATATTATCTTTGGCCAGCAGCCGTACGGGTCTAGGTGCCAAATATATATGTATGTAGTTGAGGCCAAACAGACTTATGGGCACAGGTAAGGCAGGCCAATCTTATGGCACAGACCGAGCAGGTCAATCTTATGGCCACAGCCAAGGCAGGCCAATCTTATGGGCACAGACTAAGCAGGCCAATCTTATGGGTACAGACAAAACAGGCCAATCTTATAGGCACAGACAAAGCAGGCCAATCTTATGGGCACAGACGAAGCAGGCCAATCTTATGAGCACAGACAAAGCAGGCCAATCTTGTGGGCACAGAGCACATAAAAGACATTAGGTGGAAAGTCAAAGAACAGAAAAATACAGGCAAACAATACGCTGAAACAAGGCCCCCCCCCACGATAAATACAGTATGACCACTGAGAAAGCACATAAATCAGATATCTAAAAGGAGGGGGGAAAAGGAGGGGGGGGCTGAAGTAAAACACCCTGTCCCTTTAATAAACTTTCTGCAGGGGGAGAGAGGGGGGTTCCCAGACCGTGAACTAAATGGCTGTGGAACCCCCTGAATATTTGCCGTCCGGGAGAGAGGCACGAACGGGTGGGGGAGGGGGCGGGAGCGTAGTGCTCCCTCCTCCACTCGGCGGACACACACGGTCCGCGGGTGCTCCAGCCAAGACCGGCAGCCACGTGGAAAAGGCTCCGGTTGGCGGGTAGAACGCTCGCGGGCGAGCACCCCGCGACCGGAGGGAGGGAGAGAAGCACGGGACCGCTGGAGACGTACTCCACGGTCCCGCGGGCTCGGGAGGGTCGGGGGAGGCGGCAAACAGCCAGCCCCACGAGGCCCCCGAGCCAGAGGGAATCCCCGCGGGGCAAGAAAGCGGGGAGAAAACATGAGGGGGCAGGGGGGGGAAAGACCACGGGTTAACACTAAAACCCCTAGCAGAGGGGTAAAAACAGCAATCCCTGTAGAAGCAAACAGTCCCCAGACAATATATACAAAATAATAAACAATAATGAAAATAAAGTGAAAATCCCAAAGCCCTCTACTAATATTAGCAGGAGGCAGTGGTACTCTGACCTGTACTGATGCGGAGCAGCAAAGAAAGAGGAAATGGAATGTTGGGAAGAGACTTATATTGGGTCTCCTTACTGTTTTCTGATTGGTTGTTTACTCTCTAGTGTTTTTTGCTGCTGTGGAGTTCAAGTAAAGAGAGACTAAAGCAAATATGAAGCCTCCTGTCATGTTATAAAATTCAGTAATGCATGGACCATTTTGGCAGAATAATGCTCAATGAATGGTGAATATATTTGAATTACAGAGACATTGTACCACATAAATTTCTCCACATGAATATACATGGCCTGGTCACTGACCATGGATGGATCCAGGAGACCGTTTAAGATGGAAAAAGACACATATGTGGAGCCATCACCTGAGTAACCATTGGGGTCTGACAGCTACTTACTGAGTAAGAATTTTAAGCTTTTAGGGTTTAGGATAATTAAGTAAATCAAACATGGAGCATATTGGCTAAAGAACACTCAGTAAAACATGTTCATATTTGAATTGCAGAGACATCATACACAATAGCATTCGGCACTAAAAAAAAAAAAATGGAAATAAAAAAATATATATATATATATATATATATATATAAAAAATTTTAAAAAAAGAATTCCCAGCCTGGAGGCTGACCATGGATGGATCTGGGAGCCAGTGTTAGATGAAAGAAGACACGTATGTACAGCTAGGTAAGAGTTTGACAATTTTACATTTTGGGCTAATCAGAGCTGGCGCTGAGGGACCTCAGTGCTGGAATAAGGTAAGTGGTTAAAGGGTTATTTAACCCTTACATTGCCACAACAAGGGGGGGAGGGCAGATGGACACTATAGTGATAGGAGTAAAGCTTTGTATTCCTAAGACTATAATGTTACTTTAACATATTCTGCAATGGAAACATACAAGTAAATGAAGCCAATCAAAATTTGGTATTGAGGAAACACGGAAAGATACGAAGGCCGTGCTTGATCTAGCTTACAGAATACAGTGAGTCGATTTAGTTACACAAAAGGCAACATGATGGTGAGACGTACACCAGGAGTTTTAAAGGGATACTTTAGTCTCCAGAACAACTTCAGCTTAATGTAGTTGTTCTGGTGAGCATAATCATTCCCTGTGGGAATTTTCATGTAAACACTGCCTTTTCAGAGACGCTGAACTTTCCTCTTAGAGATGCATTGATTCAATGCATCTCTATGAGTAGGTACTGATTGGCCAAAGTGGAGTTTGGCCCTGCCCCCTTACCACCTCCTTACTAATCCAATGCTCTACCTACTGAAAAGCATTGTATTGGCTAAAATCAAAAATTCTGATTATGTCATCTAGGAGGCGAGTCAGGGGCGGGGCCAGCGCAGAACGGAAATGAGGGAAATTGTATTATTTTATAGGGAGGCTAAGGGGATGCAGAGGGGCAAGCCACTTAAATGGTGGTTTTAACACTATAGGGTTAGGAATACATGTTTGAGTTTCTGACCCTAAAGTGTTTCTTTATATGAAACTTTAAAAAAAATGGAAACATGTTTTGCTTTGTCAGAATGGGAGCTGGATATACTTATTTTCGAAAAATCATTGCTTTTATCCGAACTGTATATTTATATTATGGGTGTGTTTTATAGTGATATCTCCATTATAGAAGCAAGTGTGACTTTGTACTGTTTTTTTTTTACTTCAGACAATGTACCATCAGATGTCCTTCAAGAAGCCCAAGTCTATTTGTTTAAGGATAAATGTTGCAATGGACCAAACTGTAAAAAAACAAACAAAAAAAAAAATAAACCCACAAAAACTATTAGCCTTGATTTGGACTATTGAGACATTTTTCCTGGGGCAGTGGAAAAGAGAGGACTTTACCTTTTGTATCTAACTGTATGATATCAGTTCTACCTTTTCCCCTCCCCTGGCTAATGGTAGCCTGGATTACCTGTTGAGGTAACTGGGCATGTCGAGATCTTGGAACATTGTAGGACATTGCCCCATCTGAGGAAAAATCTCAGACATGCTCAGTCTGCACCTAGAAAGGTTTTCTAACATCACCTATTCACTTTTCTTTGGGATGTAGAAGAAAGGCATTGCTATCATCAGGGGATAATGATAACAGTATAGACATGAAATAAAGCAAACAGTATACTCCACTCCCACCAACTGCCTTCTGTGGAGGAGGGACTACTCCTTTTGAGAGTTACAGAGTTACTGTCCACATCACTGCATATAAAGATTGAGTATCTGTCGAGTGTATATGTATGTAACCTGTACGTGAATTGATAATCCAAGATAAATGTGATTGTTATTAAGGATTTTTTTCCTTTTTATGGAATAATTGGTTAAAATTGGATGTTTGATTTCTTTTGGATCAACAGCATGTAAAGCTGTCTTTTCAGGGTTAACGTTTATGGACTTGAGTCTTTCTTCAACTAGATTAGTATTTAGGACTAATTTTAAAAAAATCAGACATATTCACTGTTCAATAACTTGATTTAATTATGCAATACTAGACAATCAGACAGCCCAAGTCAAAGCCTTCATAATAAGACCTCAAATCTAGTCCAAGGGTTCACTTGGTCCCTAGCTTCTCGGGTAAGGGGGAGGGGGGCATTTGCCCTGGTGCTCCCCCCTTGGCTCCGCCACCGGTAGCAGCTTGTGGGGCTGGCCACGGGCGCATGGTGTGGCGGCTGACTTCATCTGGGCTGCTTCTGCGTTCCCTGTTCACTAAGTACCAGGGCGGGGTAAGTGGGGGCCTTCAGAGCAAGGCTAATCCTGGCCTGGGTCTGCTGCTGGAGGCTGCAGTATGGTTACATGGATGGTGAGAGGGATGGGGTGGTAGCTTATGCTGCTGATTGTGAGACAGAGAAAGTCACAAGGAGATGCCTAGCCTAGTGATGGTAGGAGCAGATGGGTTGATTTATAGTGATGGGAGTGGGGCCAGTGCATAATGGTGGTGGGAGAGAGATGGGGAGATTGACCATGAGCTGCCATCAGATATTGTGGGATCTTTTTTAAAACCACTGACAGATATACAATCTCCAAGACATACCGACATATATACTCCTACGCACACTCTGCTAAAGTGACATACATACTCACACACACAGATACACATTGTGAGACAAATACATATAAACACACTACCACACACACAGATACACACTGCCATGTCACACACAGAGATACACTCTAAAAGCACACACAGACAGCACACCACACAGATACACACTGTCAAATACACACTGCCAGACACACACAGTTACCCCACTGATGGCAGCCCTGGAGATGCCTAATGGAGATGTAAGAGAGTGGGTCTGATGTCTACTGGTTATAGAAGAGGGGATGAGTGATGTTTAAGGGTACATGAAGATCGGAGAGGGTGGGGGTGATGCCCAATAATGATTGTTATCAACATAAGCATCACCCCATCCCTCTCCCATCATCATTAGTCATCGCTCTCTCTCAACATTATTCATCAGTACCCTCCCTCTCACATCACTGTTGGCCATCACCCACTCCCTCTCCCACCATCATTAAAGGGTCATTGTAAACACATCACAACTTTGCATCATTTCGAAGTCGATGGTTAATAGAATATCATGAACTTGCTCTCAGGTGTGTGAGTGGCTTAGAACTGCAGTGATTTGTGTAAATCGCACAGCTATAAGCCGGATCCTCAGAACTGTCAACAAGTAATGGATTCACAACTCCAGCAATTAAATAAAGAAGTAGTTTATTACCTCTGCACGTGAACTGTCAAACACTCCTTCTGTGTGTCAAAACGTTGCTGAGTCTACGTGCTGGTGAATGAATTACTTCTTTATTTCATTGCTGGTGTTGCGACTCCATTACTTGCTTCCTCCTAACCATCACTATTTGTGTGCAGGCGCTCCTTATTTGTTTTTTTCCTTAGAACTGTCAGACAACATTGATATCAGTAAACTGGAATTGAGTGTTCCAGCTGTCTGATATCAATTTCTTCCCCATCGCCGCACGCACAACTTGGACTGAGCTCTCTCTCCTTTTGAGAGATTGAGAGCAGAGCTATAGGCCGTACATGTATGGACTGTAGCTCCACTGATTGCTGCATGCGGCATTCATAATGGTACTGAGAGAGGGATGGGGTGCTGCCATCAGAGCTCATACAAAACACTGAGTGGACTCCCACACAACACACACTCTACCAAATACATACATAAGCTTCCACGCACACAAATGCAGACATACATATATACTTGCAGAGACACAAACACAAAAACACACTGTGAGACACACACACAAAATACATACTGACGTATACACACAGAAACACTCTGACAGTCTCGCATGCACATCTAAACACTGCCATACACACGCATACACAAATACACACTGCCAGACACACGTACAAATACACACTAACAGACACACATACAAATAAGCCCACACAGCCCACTGATGGCAGCCCTGGAGATGCCGAATGAAAATGTGAGATAGAGACGTGATGTCTAATGGTGATCGAAGAGGGTGGTGGTGATGCCTAATGGTGATTATTATTACCATTAGACTTCACTCTCTCCCATCATCATTAATCAAAACCCCTCCCTCTCACATCCCTATTGGCCGTCACCCACTCCCTCTCCCATCACCATTAAAGGGTCAGTTTAAGCACCATCACAACTTTGCAACATTGATGGTGTCTAGAGGTCTGTGAGTGGCATAGAACTGCAGCGATTTCTAAAATCACCCAGCTATAAGCCGGACCCTCAGAGCTGCCAGTCACCAGCTGGAACTCTAATTTCTGCTGCCTGATATCAAATTTGTCCATATTGGGCATATATAGACTCAGCTCTATCTCCTATCCAGAGATTGGGCCCACCTGTGCACTGCACATGCTCAGGCCATGGCTCAGCCAATCGCTGCATGCAGCAATCATAATAAAGGTGGAAAAGGGATGAGGTAATCGGGGCTGCCATCAGAGCGTATACAACATCACTGACTGGACTCCCCTGGACACATTCTCCTAGACACATGCATACATAGTCTCCCACGTACACATACATACATACCCGCAAACACACACAACCAGAGATACACACTGTGAGACACACACAAATACACTGTGAGACATTCACAAATACACAATGTGATACAAATACACACTAAAATACTGCCATACACACAAACTCACACAGACATAAACTCTGACAGACGCACATTCTGATACACACTGCCAGACACGCTGTCAGACAGATACACACTGCCAGATACACTCATACAGAAACACACAGATACGCTCCTGATGGCAGCCCTGGAAATGCCTAGTAAAGGTGTGAAAGTGAGAAAGTGATGCCTATTGGTGAGGTCTATGGTGATGAGAGAATGCAGGGGTAATGTGTATTACCCCTTCCCTCTCTTGCCATCATTAGGCATCACCACCCCCCTCTTACATCACTACTGGTCATTACCAACTTCTTCTCCCACCACCATTAAAGGGTCAGTCTAAGCACCATCACAACTTTGCTTCACTGCAGTGTTAATGGTGAATAGATTACCCTGAACTTTCTCTAAGCACTTTGAGTAACTTGGAACTGCAGAGATTTGTAAAAATCACACAGTTATAAGCCAGCTCCTCAGAGCTGACAATCGGCAGTTTGTACTCTTAGTTCCAATTTCCTCATATCATTTTTGTCCACATTGTGCCTGTGGCTTGCATATGTCGCGTTCAGAATTCAGACTGAGCTCTGTCTTCTTCCCAACTTGCTATGCACAGACCATGGCTCAGCCAATTGCTGCACTCAGTAATCTTAATGAAAGTGGGAGAAGAATGGGGTGATCAAGGCTGCCATCAGAATGCATACAACACCACAGGCTGGGACACTTTCTCCCAGATACATAGATATATAGACACACACACCACACACACTCTTACACAATGTGAGACACACACATGTTCACACTGTGAGATGCACAGAAATACACAATTTGAGACACATGCAACCACAAATACATATTGCAACGCACAGAGATACACACTGCCACATCACACACAGATACACAGACTTACATAAAGACAGACACTGCCAGACACACATACATATAAATACTGCAAGATACACACAATAACACACACATACACACAGCCAGACACATCCATACAGATACACACAGACACAGGAGATGTCTAATTAAACTGTGAGAGAGAGGGTCTGATATCAGGTGGTGATGGGAGAAAGGAGGGGTGATGTCTAATGGTGACCGGAGAAGGTGGGGGTGATGCCTAATGGAGATTATTGTCAACATATGTATCAACCCCTCCTCCGACCACCATTAGACTTCACTCTCTCCCATCATAATTAATCAATACCCCTCTCTCTCACGTCACTATTGACAATCACCAACTTCCTCTCCCACCGTCATTAATGAATCAGTCTAAACACCATCACAACTTTGCATCACTGCCATATTGATGGTGCATAGAGTCTATCTCTGTGAGTGACTTGTATTTGCAATAAGCCAGCCCCACAGTTCTGTCAGTTGCAGCAATTGGAATTCTCAATACTGGCCGTCTGATATCATTGTACTCTACATTGTGCATATGGCATGTACGAGCCGCAAGCACGTAGATTGTATGTACGAGCCGCAAGCAGAACTTGGACTAAGCTCTCATTACAGTGGTTACACATGTACACTGTACTTTGCATCAAAACTATTTTATCTTGTTGAAGTAGTTCTGAAGTAGTGCTGGTGCAGGGACTCACCTTCAATGTCAGTTTTCAGAGCTTATCTTTGGAGATTTGGAGCATGAAGCTCCACCTTCCGCTGGCTGATTGACATCCTAGTAAGGAAGATCAGATTAGTCCAATCTGTGTCTGCGACGTCTATACGACACACACAACTTGAACTGGGATCTCTCTCCTCTGCCAAGATGTGCACACAGCCCAATTCATTAAACAGTGAGCTGGACTGTGTATAAACTGATAGCGATGGTGGTATGGCCGCTATCTGTATACAGAACAGTTCTGCTCATCATATGTGATGTTTGGAACTGATAATATTCTTATCACAGAAACCCAGGCTGGGTATAGTGTCCAAAATGAGATGCTCCTGATTGGAGCCTCTTCCTGCTCAAATAGGCCTGTAACTGCAGTCAGCCCCACTAAACCGAGCCTCTCCCGGGATCGTTCATGGTAAGTATTGCTTTTATTTAAATGTATTTATAATATAATAATATATAATTATAATAATGATTTATTTTGGACTTTTTTTTAACAATATTAAAAGCTGGGGTAATTTTGGTAATATTATTTCCTTTTACTGCATTATCTATATCAGGGGTGTCAATGCAAATTTACCTGATGGCCCTTGGCAGAGGTGCCTTCTCATATGGAGTGCTGCTGATCTCTACTCACAGATCCATACTCCCAGACACATAGATCCATACTTCCAGAAACACACACAGATCCACACTGACTGACAAACAGACGCACACCCAGATACGCAGATAATCGGTGCCATACACATATTGACGCACACTCACAGATAAACTCATACATACAAACATTCATGGATACACACAGATGTAGATCCGTACTCCCGGACACATTCACAGATTCACAATGACATACACCCATATAAACTCACAGACATTTCATTATATACAGATCTCAGGGCACCACTCTGCAATGCTGGTCATTGGGTATGCAGTCAGCAGCTCAATTAAAATACTGTCAGTTGCCAGGTGTCCAGTGTCTAACCAGACAGTCTGGAAATTGAGTTGCCGGCAGTTTATCTCTTACACCACGGGCCGCAAGAAGTTGCTTGGGGACAACACATGGTCCATGGGTCAGTGGTTTGATACTCCTGTTTTATATAATGCAGTAAAATAAGATACATTTTCCGCCTATGGTTCCTCTTTAATCAGCCATCACCCCTTTCTCTCCACTCACTATCCGGCTCCTCTCTTATACGTTAGTGATGGGAGTAAGAATGTAGCCCCATGTAGCTAGAGCGCAGCTAAGCGGAAAAAGGCCTTGACAGGGGTTAGGAGGCGGGCTTAGGAGGAAGTAAGCAAGGAGTGGAGTTATGGGTAAGTAGGTTTGGCTATTTAACCCCTTAAGGACCAAACTTCTGGAATAAAAGGGAATCATGACATGTCACACATGTCATGTGTCCTTAAGGGGTTAAATAGGCAGCCATTTTAGGTGAGTCATTTCTAATTTCCTACCTGGTTGAGTCTGTCCCACCCACCCTCCCTGGTTTTGTTACGTGTGGGGTTATCCCGTTTTTTTACAGCGGCGGGATGGGGAGCTGAAGGAGAAGAAATAGGCTCCCCAGGATGAACGTGATGGAAAACAAACAAGTTGTGGTCATCGGTGGTTGATAGGTTTCGAGTCCTGTCAGTGGCTCAGAACCTGGTGGGGTAGGGGTATCCGGGTATACCCCTGCCGTGGTTAATGGATGGTTGGCACTTTAAATTGGTATTGGAATAATGTTGGTGTATGTTTTATATATATATATATATATATATATATATATATATGTGTTATCTGTATGGGGGTCATTGCCTTTTATATGTTAACGGAAGGAATAGGATGCGAGGGCGGAGTATGGGGGTGCAATGACCCATGTTTTACTTGTTAAGTTATCATTATTATTATTATTATTGTTATTATTATTATTTGGTTAATAAGGCTGTGGACAAAATTTCCCATATTCCCTAGTGTCTGTGCATTATTGGGTTAGGATATGGGGTTGGTTGTCCTGGATTCCGACTGCCCAAATGGCGACTATACACCTGTCAAGGGTTTCATAGAGCCTAATATTAGCGGTGGGAGAGGGAAGGCTGCCTAATAGTGATGGTTAATGGTGCTGAGAGAAGGAGGGGGTGATGGAATAGGGAGGGCCGATGTCTAGTGGTGATGGGAAGGAGAGTGATGCCTTGTGGTGATGGGAGAAACATGGCATGCTGATTAATGAATGGGAGAGGAAATGAGCTGTGTTTAATGGTGATGGGAGAAGAAGGAGGATACCACCCTCCTCTTCCATCACCACTAAGCCCCACTCCCTTCCTCTCCCATATCCATTATGTGTCACGCTCCATCTCTCTTGCATCACCATCAGGTGTCACACCACCCACTCCCATCACCATTAGGCATCCATCAAACCTTCCCTTTCCCATCTCTATTAGACTCACCCCTCTATCTCCTATCTACCATTTGCGGTATACTAAGGAAATACAGGAACTAATCCTGGTGGTTGAAGATGAGGGTGGTTGCCTTATGGTGATGGAGAGGGAATTCATGGCTAATAATCACGGGAGAAGGAGGGGGCTGGTACCTTCTGGTGGTGAGAGAGGGAAGAGGTTTATTCCTAATGGTGATAGGAGAGGGATTATGCCTAATGATGGTGTTAGATGGGATAATATCCCACTCCCTCTTCCATCACCATTAGTCGTCACCCCCTCTTTCTCCCATCACCATCAAGCATCACCCCCTCTCTCTCCCATCAACATTAGGCATCACCCTACACCTCTTTCACCACTATTTGGGAGCCATAACTCCTTCTATTTGCCACCACAACTCAGCATCTTCCTCCTCCATCTCCCATCTGCCAGCGAAGAAGAGAGCGAGGCTCAGGGAGAATGCTGTAGGTAGGAATAGAAATGGGTTTACTAGAGGTTTTAAAGGGGGAGGGGGTGATTCCTAAAAGTGATTGGAGTGGGAGGGAATATAATTCCAAATTGTGAGGGTAGTGGGAGGCGAGATGCGCTATGGTGGTAGAAGAGGGGTGATTCCTAATGGTGATGGGAGTGGGAGGGAATATAATTCCTAATAGTGAGGGTAATGGGAGGCGAGATGCGCTATGGTGGTAGAAGAGGGGTGATTCCTAATGGTGATGGGAGTGGGAGGGAATATAATTCCTAATAGTGAGGGTAGTGGGAGGCGAGATGCGCTATGGTGGTGGGAGAGGGGTGATTGCTAATGGTGGTGGTGGTGATGCCTAGTGATGAAGTGAGAAGGAGGTGAGGTGGTGCCTAGAGGTGATGGGAGAGGGTGATGCTAAGTGGTTTTGGAAGAGGGAGGAGGATGATTCCTCATGGTGGTGTTTACATCATCATGAGGCATCACCCCTTCCCTCTCTCATCACCATAAGGCATCACCCTGCTATCTCCCATCACCATTAGACATCACCACTCTCCATTCTCCATTAGGAATCACACCAATCCCACTGCCATTGGGATTTACCACTATCCCAGCACTAAGTTTAGGATAGCTTCTCTCTTTCTTACAATTAGCAGAATGAGCAGCCATTCTCACCTCCTCTTACCATCTACGTAACCATATAGCAGTCTCCATCACAGCCTCACGGCTGGCATCTTCCAAGCTCAAGCGGGTTTTTGCTTGCTCTCCCTGTTGCCTGCTGGATAGCGAGTGCACGGGTGGTTCAGATGGGGTTGGCTGTCGCGCTGTGCGAACCTGCAGCCAGTCCTGCAAGCTGTCACCAGTGGATACAGGGGGTGGCACCAGGACAAATGCCCCTCCCCCCTCCCCACCCGAGAAGCTATTAAGTAATTTGTTGGCTAGGGAAGATCATGGCAAGTTCCTCCCCCAAGATGCCAGTGACAGTTATTGTCTGGCCATTAGCAGGGGCTGACCGAAGGAACTTCCTGCCAAGGTCCTCCTTACCCAACAAATTGTACAATCCCACAGATATCCCAAAGGTAGGAATCCTGGAGCAGTCATGGAGGATCACATGGTCACAAGAGCAGCACCAACAACCAAAACATTGTTTGTCGTTGTTGTTTATCTTTTTTGTGCTGTGAGACCCAGTATTTTAGATTTTGGCAAAATTAGTTATCCCATATTGTTACTGGGTATCTGGGTGTCAAATTCATCCCCTCAAACGCTGGGTCATGTGAGTGCTTTTTAAAGGGGCATGCTAAGCATCATGGCCATGGCAGCTCAATATTGTAGTTATGAACCCCCCATGTTTTTCTGAGCTGTATGATGGGCACTCCCTCACTCAATAGACTAGTCTCTTCAGAAAACATTTACTATGCGAAATTTACACTTGTAGTAAATGATATCCATTCTATATGTATGTGAATAGGTTATTGATCCAAGAAGAAATCTGATTGCCATTACTGAGTAAAGAAAACTTTTTGCCCCTTTATTTTGTATAATTGAAAATGGCTACAAATTGATTTTTTGCCTTCCTTTGGATCAACAGCACAAAAGAATGGGTTTCAAGGTTGAATTTAATGGACTTTAGTCTTTTTTTAACCTAGACTACTATGTAACTATACAAGCTGAATGGCAATCAATTGCTCAGAGCGCTGGGCTAACCAACCCTCTGGTTATAGTGTTTAGATAGCTCCTTTAATGTAATGTATATAAATCAAGTAATTGAACAGTGAATATAAATAAAAATCTAAGTCACTGACAGATACACAATTAGTCCACAAACTTTGGCTAATGCGTCCTCTGCTCCCTCTCAACTCCTTCCACTAGAGGTTTTGTTTAGATGGTAAAAGGTAGTAATTTTATAGGCAGGTGTTGCTGATAGTAACAATGCTGCTTGCTTTACTTCCAAGAGTTCTTCCTTGTTTGTGAGACATCCAGGTACTGTAACCCTGCTCTCCTGATGCTGAGAGTCAATGGGAGCTCTAGAAGTGAAAGCAATGTCCATGCCTCTCTCCAGGTGACATCAGAAAGCCCTTCTAGGAGCAGATAGGGCACATCTGAGGTGTAGAATCAGAAGGGACACTTTTTGCAATTGCAACAAGATCTTGACATGCCCAGTTGTTCTTTACAGCTTGTCCAGACTGTCATCAGCCAAGGGGAGGGGAAGCTGGAAAACTGTTATCATTCCAGAGATTCTACACAGCTTTATTTCTAAGTCTCACGGTTTTCTCAAGTCTAGATTTATGGGGTTTTTTTCATGAAAATTTTTCAGTCAAACTTCCCCAGAAAACAGTTTTTTTCCTTTTGCCCAAACTACCCTCTCCTCACCATCTTTACTTTTAATATTGTTTATTGAAAATAAACAACTTAAAAAACAAACTATGATTATCTCAGTAGTCCTTTCCAATGCCAACAGTTTGGGTTTTTATTATTATTTTTGCAACAAAAATCGGTGAGACGCTGACCAAAGTACTGCTATGGATGAGCCTCTATTGAAGTTAGTTGATGATCGATGAATTAAGTATCCACCCTGCAAACCGCGGATCAGAGAATTTCACCTGACAGTATCTGACATTAAAAAGGTAGGTAGTCATATATTATTTTTATAATCAGTTTGTAAGATTTTATTTTTACGTCATATTTTATTTGGCTTTTCACTTTATTTGGTTAATCTTTTAATGGCTTTTATTTTCAATAGCAAATAAATGTAAAATTTTTATTTAAGAAAGGGTTACTCCAACCAAAATCCAGTGTTTTCATAAAGTACTGGTTTAGTTTGAAGTAACCCTTTATGTGGTTGTCAGCATCCGTCCCAAATGAAAAAATATATAATTAAATTAAAAATCAATAAACTTTTTCCTTCACCGAGGGTAACTTTTCCCTTAGCCCAATTTTCCTCAACTGACATTACTCCACCTCGGGGGAGAGACATTCGGGTGGACGGACTGACGGGACCACAGGAATGTAGGTGGTGACACATTATATTTTTATAAAAGAGCAGAAGTATTTAAGGACTTTTTGCATCCGGTTATTAATTTACTATTATTGTATATATGGCTATTTTATTTTAAAAAATTGTTCTCTTTATTCTACTTATATGTGTCGACCTTTAACAAAACCTTGACATTTTCCTGTGCTCTGACATTTTAAATGCATGACATCATAGTTACGTTGCACTTTCAATGTTATAGATTTATCATTACACGCAAGGGTTTGTTTATACTTTATTTCTCTCTTTACAGTTAATTCAAGTATGAACCCCAGCACCGATCATCGATACTAATCTAATCCCGAATTATTAAGCTAAGATAAACGTATTACAGGTTACAGATTTCTCCAAGTCTGACTTTTGTCTCAGCTACTGGTTTCTGACCGTTGGCTTCCTATCAGTGTCTATCGCTTTGTGGATTCTTATCAGCATTGCGACTCTCGCAGCAACAGAGTATTAACTGTCTGATTCTATAATATTATACCTCCTGCTAACAACTAAAAAAAAAAAATTAAAAAAATTATTTTGCTTATAAAGTGCAGAATGTTACCCACAGAACCCCAGTCCGCCTCAAGTACATAAAATAACAGGTGCATTGACACTTCTGTTTTCAGTATGCTACGGATGCACGGGATCTGATGAATTTCATGTGATTATATAAGTCAGCTGAACAGATGATTGTTGCATTCTTCGAAGCACCTTCCATTGAACCTTTTATTTTTCACATTCTATTGTGATGTATTATTTCTATAATATTTAATAAATAAATAAAGTTATATTGGAATAAAATGTAAGTTAATTTTTCCTTTTCAAACACTAGACATCTGTAGCTGTATATGAGAAAGAATAGAAATAAAAGCAGTGTGTGCTTCGAAAATGTTCACTGTACCCATTTTTAATATTTGCTGTAGATACAATGGTCGGACGATCTGAGCAGAGGAAGAGTTTATACTCTACTTACAGAATAGCAATATTCCTATAGAGTTCAATGGAGGATTTTCTATTCAGTATGTAGATTAACCCTCTAAGGACACAGCTTCAGAACACAAGCCATTTTTGCATTTTGTGCTGTTTGTGTTCAAATGCAATTTGCATCTCTGTCATTTATTGCGCCAACACATATTATATATCTTTTTTTTAGAGGGAAAACAGGGCTTTACGTTGATATCACATATACATAGATACATTCTCATTAATTATAAAAAAATGCCCCCAAAATTTTAGTTTTGGCAATAATTGGCATAATATGTCCAGCTTAGAAAAAGTAATTCAAAATAAATTCATTTATGTGTCTTGATTTATAGAGTACATCATATGTATAGGATTTTGGCTTATTTTGAAAGTTACAGGCAACAAAATAAAGGACTAAAATAAAATTTCAATTTGCAACAATTTTTGAAGTTGGTATGTTTGTCTTGTAGGTTTAGTAGCCATCACAGAAAAAAAATTGCCACACAAAAGTATATATTTATATAAAGTAGACATCACAGGCTATTTACCTAAGGTTAGTTTGACACTTTTAATGTAGCCATTTCATCGCCAATCTCTGCTAAATATTGGAGTAAAATTGTGTTTTTTCTCTATTTTGGCATATACACATATAACAAGGTTTTTGTAATGTGTATTTCGTAAAGCTGGTGTGTGCTATTCCTGTACAGAACTCCATATTGTGTTCAGCTACATCTGCTAAATTTAACGATACCCCCATTGTATGCCTTTGGCACTCTTCTGTGAAGCTACAATGCCATATAAGAGACAAGGCTATTTCAGTTTCTATAGTTAGAATTTTCGTAGATGGATTTGACTGGCCTATGTCTCATTTTAGGTTATTACACTTGATATGTACCACTGTCATATAAATCCCCAAATTTTGCTCCGTTACATCTTCTGAGTCAAACAATATGCCCAATGTATGACCTAGA